GGGCGTCATCTGTTTTCTGGTTATTATCCTTCATTCTTCCGAAAAAAATATGTAATATGATAGAGAGACTACAGAGAAACTTCTTATGAGCCGAGGAAGCAGAAAAAAAAGGTGTTCATCTTATAAAATAGAAAACGGTGTGCCTCCCTATGGTTGAAGGAGGTCTTGGGGTAAGAGATATGGCGGATTTCAATATCGCAAGAATGACGAAGTTAGCATGGAGGATTTTGGAAAATCCATCCTCGTTGTTGGCACGGTTCTTCAAAAATCAATATTTTAGAAATTCCTCTATTTGGGAGGCTGAAGGCAGAAGAGGATGTTCTCATGCATGGAAGGGGATTTTACTTGGCTTATTTCATTTGAGAGGCAATGTACAGTGGAATATTGGTAATGGTCAGATGGTGGATTTCTGGATGGATCCATGGTTAGCAAGTCAGCCACTTTCAGATCTCCAAGATGATAACATTCAAGAATATTTGGGGGCTGCTGTAGGGAGGAGGGTTTCAGACTTTATCAGAGAAGTTCCTCAAGCTTGGGTTCTACCGCATCCCGCATCAGATTCTTTGAGGATTATATGGAGAGAGGTTGAGAATTATACTCTCCCTCTACAGCCCAAGAAGGATTCACTGGTCTGGATTCAGTCTGCTGATGGATCAGTCTCTATTAAAAGGGCATGGGATTTTATTAGGCATAAAAGTTCATCACAGCCTATCTTCCGTGCACTTTGGTCTTCCAAATGCCACCCAAGGGTTTCTATGGCTGGCCTTGCATAATCGATTACCCACTTCATTCTTACTACAGCAGTAAAGCATGCAACTGAACTCTTTATGTCCTTTTTGTAATAACCATGATCACAATCTTTTTCATCTATTATTCCAATGTGCCTTTGTGCAGGGTGTATGGAGATCACTCGCTTGGAGATGTGGAAAAAGGTTTATCCTTGGTACCTCTGTCCCTGATTTACTTAGGTGGTGGTTACTTTTCAACTTTAAATCACATGGACTTCGTAATATTTGGGCTTCCATCTTTTTTACTGCTTTTTGGTTTCTATGGGAAGAGCACAACATAAGAGTTTTTTAGTCAAGACCTACCAGGAGAGAGCTTATTGTGAAAAGAATTACCCTGCATGTTTAGGCACTAGCAGAAGTTAAGAAGTGATCTTTTCATTTATCAGAAAAGGCCATCATTGGTAACCTTCGGATAACTTGGCAGCAGCAGAGGGCTGAGCCCTTTACTTCGGTAGCGTTGTCTTTTCCTGAGACTCATAATTACAAACTCAATATTGATGGTGCTTCCTTGAGAAATCCAGGTTTAACAGGTGGAGGTGGAGTTATCAGGAACAGTGCGGGTGGTTTTATTGCTGCTTTTGCAAAGCATTTTGGTTTTGCTTCTAATAACCATGCAGAATTCTTGGCATTTGAGGAAGGAGTTCAATTGGTTATTCAAAGTAATTGCTTTCCAATCCAGATTGAAAGTGACTCGGCCTTGCTTGTGAATATCATTCAGAATCGATGAAATGCTCCATGGAGACTAAAGACGATTGTAGACAATTGTTGCACCAGACTGTCTTCTCATCGATGGTCCATCACACATGCCTTTCGTGAGGCTAACATGGTTGTTGATGCCCTAGCTAAGAGGGCAGCTGCTGGCCCCGGTGCTACTGTGTGCGTCATAGACCACCAGATTTTCTTTCCTCTCTCTTATTACATAATCTCGCGCAAGTGCCCTACCATAGGGTTGTATCTTAATTGTTTTTCTCTGCTTTTTATTAATTAAAAACAGGTAGGGGGCCTTCTCCCCCACTGACTTACCCAAAAAAAAAAACATTTTTATTCATTGAAAAGATTCAATATAATTATAATATATTATATTTATATGCTGATATGTGTAATTATGTACTTTTCAAATACAAATATTTTATTGTTTTGTCAATTTTTACTTAATTTTGTAAAAGGTACAGCATCTGAATTTTAAACTGTGATCTTTTATAATTTTAGATTTTATATTATGCAGCAATTGTGTTAGGTCCATAATTTAGGTCATCATATCCAACTCCTCCAAAATACGTCAAACACAAACACACGTCAGTGTCAAGGTAAAATACCAATCAAGTGCTCAACTCCATACAAATTGTTTCATAAAAAAAGCCCAACATTAGGGCTCCTTTAACTTTCTGGATCAGACCTTGATATTACTATTATATAGGCTCCTTATTAAGTTCCACATCTAAAATCCTTCTCCCATCTCTCTTTCAAACTAAGTGATGCAGACCACTTCCGGAAACATAACTTTCACCTGGATGTTAGTTCAAGGTGATAAAAAACTCAATATGAAGTTCTTCCAGATCTGCAATCCTATCTCTGTTGGTTTCTTTTAATAAGCACATTTCAAGCTTCTAAGTTCAACGCCTACAAGAAAAACCAATGAAAAGTTTTATTTTCCTAAGTGTGTTACAATTCTTTTTTTTTTGGATAATTCAATGGGGAAGACAGACCCCTACCCGTTTTTTCAAATAGATTAGGAGTTAGCTTTTTGAATTTTATTAGTGGGTGGTGTTAGTGGTGAGAATGGAAACCACAACATGGTGACTATTGCGTTACAGTTCTTCCATTATTGAGTATTAGAAACCATAGCATATGGAACCTAGGCAATCTTCTGGAAGATTCCATAAATTAGAAAGTTAAGAATCTTTAAAATTTCAATAAGTTGTTTCTTTCCCTTATTTTGCAAGTTAGTTTCCTAGTCTTGTTTAAGACTCTAAAACTACTCTTTCCATGCTTTGTTAGGGTCTAATTTCCTAAAGTTATAAAAGAAATAACATAAAGGTGTTCAGAAATTTCTAAATACCAATATATGGCTTATGGCAACATTATGATTCAAGTTTGGCACTAAATTTTGGGTTTCAATTGCGATGAGAAGCCACATTTAGAGGAGGTGTTCCTCAACTCTTTTAATAGAAAGGGTGATCCTAAAACTCTAGTCTAGAATACACACATAAACTTGGGTCATTCTTCTTTCTCCCTTTTCCCCGTAACCAATTCTGTTATCCATCCAAACACTTCTATAATCTCAAACCATACATCCCAACTAAGGTAAACAAGCTCAATAGCTACCCATACAACATAACTACCCTTCGTATCGATGATTGCGAAGGATTCTGTGCGGCCAGGTGGGGCGACCGGTCTCACGCCTCGAACCTCATGGACCTCTCATCGTATCTTGCTGGATTGGTAATTTCCAGCACCGTATTCCCACCCTAAAACCCTTTAACCAAACAAATTATTTCCCTAATCATAGGAAAAGCCACTCTTCCCCAAGCATAGCCTAAGTCATGCTGCTTTTAGGCCCCCTATCAACCACTCCTACTTGAACCTCGAGACTTCCAAAACCCTGCCATCCCAATCCTTATAAGGACCAAACACCCTTTAGAACTACTACGTGCCAACCTTCTTAGAATTCCTAATCATACCGAAACCCTTTCTTTCCATGTGCACCTAGTGTATTACATTTATCTAGGAGCCAAGGCCCCTTGGTCCTACATTAGTAAGCATGCTAAATGTGTCATTGACCTTCTCAATCAATCTATTTCTACGACAGGTGCCCTAAGAAACTAACATAGGATTTTCTTTTCCTTAGAACATGAAAGCAACTTAAGGAGAGTTCTCAAAAGTGATCTAGTTTGAAGGTATCTCTAACCAGACTGAAACTTCAATCATTCACCACCTCTTCCTAAAATTACTCTACCAGGACAACTTCTAGGATTGAAATCTGTCGTCATCTTGAGCTGTGCAAAGTTCTTTAAAGAAACTGCTATTAACCTGTCCTTATCCTTATTATATCATCCCTTAATGATCTGGTTGAAGGTGTCATTTCTATGGGCATTCAAATTATGTGAAAGCATGCATTTTTTTACTACTTTTATACATATTACGTGCTATCAGCACTTAAAAATAGTGTCACGTAGTGGATGGTTAGCATTAACAATGATTTGTTTCAACAACATGCAAGGTGGTGTTGAAGCCAGGGCTTAAAATAGTGCCGCGTGGCAGATTACTAGGGTTAAGTGGAAGACATTGCTAAAAGCATGAAACATATATCATGTGTTAGGTGGTATTAAAACTTCTTGTTTGTCCACGTGATGATGATGCATAAAATTTTACTTTTAAGGGATGAGTGCCTTAAAAAGGAAAAAAACGAGAAAAAAATATAAAGGGAAAAGAGGGGGAGAGTATCCAACTTACCCATTGTACTTAAAGGGTGAAGCGAAAGAATGGCTAGGGCATGAAGCGGCATTATATTAGAAAAAATATAATTTTAATATGGAAATCAAAGATTATCGACAACTTCTACTTGCCATTTTTATATTGCAACAATATAGCAGCCCCTCTTCTCAATCTTGGCCACCTGAGAATCAAGGTTGTGGCCCAAATGCCGAGGGGACCCGGACCCCAAGCTGCCTAGATGGCCGAATCCCCTCTTGTTGACATTGAGTGCTAACATCAACCCAAAAAACACATGCATTAACACATCCTTAAACATTGAAGTAGACATCGACACAATAATGAATGGAAGCAAGTTTGATACTATATGTAGAAGAACAATTCAACACTCCATCATAAAAGAACCAACCCGAAAAGCCAAGGCAAGTTCAAGTCCAACTTAGTGATGAACCAAACAATGATCAGTAAAAAACTTGCTTCATATGTTTGCATGAAGAATAATCAAATAGTAAAGGCTACTACTATTTAATTTTTTTCTTTAACGAAGTGGTACGAGTGTAATTCCAATCCACAACATGGAATAAGAGCTCTAAACTTAGCTCTATGATATTTTCCTAAGAGGAATAAGAAATATTACTGAATTTCTAGTGTCAAACAGGAGTTCAATAGTTTTTCATGCATCCAATGGAAAACAAAAAGTCTATTTTAAAAGAAATGCTAGCGATTGCACATTATGTCTAATAGTAAATAAAAAAATATAAATTGAGTGAAATTTAGTACCTCATAGTCAATAAGTTGAATAATGTTTTTCTTCCCACGTAGTTTGTTTAGGTATTCGATCTCTTGACAGAAACCATAAGCAGTAGCATAATCACGACCCTTTAGCTTTATCTTTTTCAGTGCATAGATGGTACAATCTGAGGTTATGACTTTATGAACCTCACTACTTCCTCCACTACCTATCTTTCCTAGCTTCTGATAGAGCTTCCCATTAACTTCAAAGAAGTCGTGAGAATTGTGATGCCTTTCGCGAGGACCAGATGAATCCTTGTTGCTAGCAGCCTTCTTTGGGTTGTTTGAATGAGAAGGCTCAGTATTTACATTTGATGACGAGCCTTTTGAATGTGGAAGTTGAGTATGTGTATCTTTGGGAGTTCCTGCGTCTTTGGGCTGCAAGACCTCTCTTCCTGGAAAAGATACATGTGAAGCCTTTGCACCATCTCCTGCTACCACACTCTCCTTCTGCAAGGAACTCTGAACCTTTGCTTGGATATGCTCCTGGATGTCTGAAGCCTTATGAGCACATGTAGAAGCTAATTTAATCAAGGGATTCCCCTCATTATTAGCACACTTCATAGCTGGAATAGGAGCTCTCCTGTTTCCATCATGCATTTCCAATTGATCAACTTCAATACAAGCATCACTGATCTTCCCATATGAACAAGGATGGTAAGTTGAGGAAGCAAGGGGGGCAGAGGTGCACTGAACTGAAGTTGCAGTAGTGTTCACAAGTGCTGATAAGGAGGTGCACGAGGAGCCTGCAACTGAAGATAGGGTGAATGGGTTGATTGCTTCTTTCCCAACAAAGGCCATAAAAGGTTGAGTTTGTGGGTCAGTGCATCTCCGAGGCAATAAACCGTCAACAACAGGCCTTGGTTCCACGGAGTGGAGAACTTGCTGCTTCAAATCCCTACCAGCAATGGCCGATGGTCCAGCTTGGGTGGTCACAGTGCTTCCATTTTCTGTCAATGCAAGGGAATTCATATAAGATGTCAAGTTCTCCATTCCAGTATTAGTGGCCATTCTTTCGTCGGCCCCTGCATAAACAGATAAAGAAAGACAGACGATGCAGGCAATCATATAAATGAAAGCAGTAGTCAGCTATTACTAAATCGAACTCTAGCCTAATAAAAAGAGAATTGCTATCTAGAATGCCATATATTCAATGTAGCCATGAGTGTGAAATTTTTAAAATGATGAATTTGGGAAAATTTATGCAATCCAACAGACTATGGATAAATCACACTTTGTTAGGTCCTCAACATCCACTCAAATGATGGACTCTAAATAAAAGAGAATGAAATCAGAAACGAACATTATATGCCAATGCTATGTTCTGCTCTTGCCACCATCCATCATTTCAGTGGACAGAAGTAAACCAATGAACTATTGCATTTCCAAAATCCATTTGATTTTAGTACACCTTACTCCAAGTTTATTGAGATAACATACCCAAAGGTTGCTTACTCTGAGAGAAATCCCCTGGGTAAGTTGAAATCAGAGCATTCATCCTATCCTCATCACAAGATGTTGGAAAATTTGTCAGTCTCACTGCTTTCTGCATGTCATCAAATCTAGGGTCTGGTTCAGAGCACTGTTTCAATTCAACACATTCCTTCGAGGCCTTTGATGGCCCACCCTTTCCAGTTTCACTGATTACAGAGAAGTGAACCTTCTTGGAACCACCAGCTGACATAGCTATAGAAGGAATCCCATGATCGAAAACAGTACTAGGTAGTTTCCTAGATGCTCCAGTAACAGAATTTTTTCCATCCTTGTCACTATCTGGTTGGCTATTTGTAAAACTAAGATGCACATCAGCCAACCTATGACCACTTTGTGCATAGTCAATGATGCCCTGGATTGGAAGGGAAATACCATCGTTTCTAGAGTCAAGCACACCTGGATTCTCATCCTGGCTAGTAACAGTTTCCATGGTGCAGGGTGAAGTGAGCGAGGTGACCTCAGAACTATCCTCCACATTTAATTTTTCCTTTCTCTCCTCTGCTATCTCTTTTGTCCTAGATACTTGTTCCAATATGTCATGTTTAATCCCTTTGTTCTGTAAGTTCTCCACTTCGCTCGATCTTGAGTCCGGGGACGCATCCCTTTTCTCTCTAGTGTATGCAATATCCATCCCCTTAGCTTGCACTTGTCTACCATTCGAACTGTCTTCAGTTCCCACATTCGTCAGAGCACTCTCTGTTGAATCTGTTTGTCCAACTAATATGCGTCTTGCCCGAAAAGTATTAGATGTTGGCATACCTGAAATCCATGATACATTGCATGAAAAATAAATGACGGCTTAAGCTCAAGGAATTACATGTGAAGAAATCTAAATAAAATTTTAAATCTAATTATTTAAATTCAAAGTCCCTACCTCATTTTAGAAGACAAAACTATCTTGTGTGTGGAATAATGATGGAAATAAGAGGCCTATAAAGTGATAGCCAAAAGAACTAAGATATGTATTCATGGGAGAGTGTTCTACAAGCATAAAAGTTAAATGTATGAAACCTATCTATATTGCAACTGAAACTTAAAATTGATCACAACCAAAACATGCTAATGAACATTGATTGAACATAAGCATTTGGTCTGTGAAGAATAATGCCCTCCACTTCTGCCTAGAAGTGAAACTTATATTACTCTACATAATTCACCATGGGGACATCACTAATTTGCTGCTACTTTCCAACAAGGAAGAGATCTAAAGCCCAACGGATGAATACATGAATGTTATGTCAAAAGGAACATGAACCAAATGAAATAGTGTCGCCAATTTGTTTTCAATCTGTTTGATTGAGATGGAACTTATACAATTGCATGGACCAGTGAGCAATTTGCCTTCCAATTAGTAAGCTGATCATAGAAAGGATTATTCTCTATAGCTGCTAATCTATTAAGAATTTAACACAAATGCTAGATACTCATGAAACAAAATAACGCAAGGCATTCTCCATAAATGAATCATGATAGCAGTCCAATCTCTGCAATTTTCATAAGTTATTATGATTAGTGGCAATCATGAAGTTTATAGAGGAACACATCTTTCCCTGGTAAGACTTAATAACCTCTCCCAGGATCAAGGATGCCTACTTTCCACGTTTGACTACTGACTACTTCCAAAATGGAAGCTGAAATAATTGATAGTCATAGTCTGCTATATCCCAACCAATGGATACATGATATGAAACTACCATGCATAGTACTGCATTTTTGCAAGTCCTATAGTTTGAAAACTTTAACATCAAGTGCTGAGTTCCCTTCCTGCCTCCTATTTAAAGATATACTCTATGCTTTAACAGATTTTAACGCATTCTTATCATTCTACCATTCTAAAATGCAATTTTGTCATATATCTGATGATATGTTTTTTCTTTCAATACCTAAAATCGATGCTTCTTCAACTGATTCTATCTAAATGAAGGTCACACATCGTTTCATTCCTAAAAAAACTCTCTACTTTCTCATCATTTTCAACCAAAGCCCCTCTAAGGCTCTACATGCAACCAATCAAGAACTTGAAAACATGAACTTTTTCTAGCTGCATGAAAGATTCCTTGTCCATGTTCCCCGCATTTGTGTCTAAAAATCCACCATGAATGATTATCATAATACAGTTGGCACCCATCCGCCAAAACAAAAGTACTCTTTCTTTGCCATTGTTTCCCATTTTCCCCTTTAAGTTATTGTTGCAATTGACCTGTGTCTCAGAGTGCAGCCCAAGTAACTATTAATCATAGTGACCAAGAGAGGGAGCGGGAACGGCTCCGGTTCCGAGAGCGGGAGCGTCGGATTGACGTCTGCCTAAAGCTCCGGAGCTTGGGGAGCGAGTTCCGGTGAGGGTAAAAGTAGCAGATCAAGATCCCATATGAACAGGGAACACGTTCCCAATACATCGGGATCGAGATCCCCATTCAACGGGAACACATTCCATGTCAAATGGGATCATGTTCCCATATTCATTAGGATCGTGCTCCCATCGACAACAGGATCGCACCCCCATCTAAGAATGACAGCACTCCTATTTAGAAATGATTGAGCTCCATTCAAGGAAGAATCGTGTTTTGTGCATGATTAGTCTGGGCTCCAGAACTCCACTTTTATAAAAATTTAACTTAAAATATAATTATTTTATTTTATTTTAAAAATTAATTGTAGTTAACAAATTTCTTATAGGAAGTTCCGAGAACGTAGGGATGGAGTTCAGGAAATATAGGGATTGCGCTCCTAAAATTCTGGAAGGGGATGTAATTTATTCAGGAACGAGATCCTAAAATTTAAGGAAGACGTTATGTGCAGTATCGGGAGATGGAAGAGAGCTCCAATGTGAATGGGATTGAAAATCCTAAAAATAGGAGCGAGCTCCCAAAAAGTAGGGAATGGGTTCCAGTTGAGATCCCGGCTACGGAGCACCGGAGCTGGGTTCTGGAGCGGGAGAGCTTGGGCACTCCCGGTAACTATGCTATTAATGGCCAAAGGCTATGTAGCTTCCCATTCCAAAACTCACGGGTGATACTCATAATTCAAGGGCTTACTTGGTCACACTGTGCTCATCGCCAAAATAATCATTAACAAATCATTATGACTCAACAAAACTTTTTGGCGACAACCCCTCTAGCAAAACTATTCTACTCCATTTCACATTAGCGAGGATTCAGCACCACTAATAAACATTATCACCTTAAAAATCCAAAAATTTGGTGAATTCCATAGAAAATCCTCAGAAATCCACTCAGAATCTTTCTCTACCTTCTCCCAACCGAAACCCTAAAGCTCCAATCTCAAACCAAATCGCAAGATGTATATATCAATCAACTTACAATGATGCCATAAACATTATTAATAATCTAAAACTGAACGATGAGATAGCTAATAATTTTTTGAAATTAGTGGAAATAAACAAGTTGCTCTACGTTGAATTAAGGTGAACATACTAGAACCTAGTGTCATTCTTCTCCAGAATTCAAAAAGACAAAACCTGAATTTCATGTATGAGAGATAGCGATAAAGGTAAGAATTTTTGCATAAAGAGGAAAAGGGAATAAGAGGGACATACTTAGTGTTTTGCGCCGCTTGAGAGCAGCTTGTACATCTCTGTAGATATCAGGAACAGACGATTTGAATCGAAAAGCTTGAGGATTCAGAGGGGCTTCTGCAGATTCAGAGCTTTGCTTCTCAGAACCAATCGGAAGGTTAACCTCCCTCTCCATGGCAAACTAAAACCCTAGAAAACAAAGGCATCTCTGATCTCTCCAAACCCAACTAAAAATGGCCAATACCACTGCTAAAAAAATCCAGAAAAAGGAGAAGATAAGTTGTTAATATGATAGAAAACGGAGGGAAACACCACTATCCATCACAAAGAGGAATTTAACAGATCTCTTTGATCCCCAAGTAAACATCAGTAATTCCCATTGGAAAACCCCAAAACTTCAGTGGAAAAAGAAAAGGCAAAACAAAAAACTCTTGCTTTGGAGGAAGAGAAGGAATTTCCAGTGATCATAACGAATTGGAAGTGTTAGGGTTTAAAAAAATGCCAAAAAGGTGGGATTTTCCATTACAGAAGGGGGAGATTTTGAGAGAGAGAGAGAGAGAGAGAGAGAGAGTTTGAAATGGTATTAGACGCTTTGCCGCTCGGGATGCACAGTGGGCCCAATTGAATCAAGAGGCCAAAATTACCCTCGACAAAACAACGAATAACCTAGGATGCAATTTCCTGGGGCGTAGGGCCTTATGAAAAATGTGAAGCTTCACGTCGAAACCTTTTCTGGAAAATACTTCGGGTATGAGAAATTCTTATAATGCCCTGAAATATATTTTTATGGAAAAGTTTATATAGAGCCGAGGCTCTAAACCATCATATTTGAATCTATGTCAAAATTTTTATTAGAAGAGGTTGTTTTGATGCTCAAATATCTCCAAATCGATCATCTCGATATCAAGATGTATGGATGTGAGAAAAAATAGATTTCAAGTTTTAAAAATAGTGTATTTTGTAACATATTTTTGGGCCATCAATTTTTAAGATTTTCAAGTTTTTATATCTCTGTCGATCTACACTATTTTTTAATCTTTAAATTTTATAAATAAATATAAAAATATATTTTAAGGCTATTACACATATTTCCAATATTGCAACCACATTTATCAACACCATTTGAAGGTAGGCTCTAATTTGATTTTTTAAAGCCAGGCTCTATACAAACCGCATCCATATTTCTAACACCAATTATCCCAAAATTGGGATTGCATCATTTATCTTTGGGTGTGGTTTCTATAAGGTTGCAACCTTAAATAATCTAATTAAGGTGCACCGCTAAATTTTATCATAACATGTAATTTTGTTGTAAAAAATTCTTAAGAATATCTCAAAATCTATTTTCATATTTAATTTTAAATTTTTAAACTCCAAAAATAGTTAAAATCAAGTAGAACTACAAACATATGAAAATATTGAAAAATGATGGCCTAGATAATATGTTGCAAGATGCACTATTTCTGAGAGTTAAAATATTTTTTTTTTTCCATATTCATACATCTCGATGTCGAGATGATTAATTAGACAGTATTCAACATTAAAACATCTTTTTCAAATATATTTTTGAGGTGCATCTTTAATTCTATATTTTAATGTTGCAATCTTATATAAACTTTATCTTTTATCTTTTATATATACAGGTCACAATCATTCTTATCCCTTAAATTTCAAAATGGGGGGTTGTATGTCATTAAATAGGCAATTTCTTGAACTTCGGAACTTAACTCTAGCCATCCAATTTGACATCTAATGAGTGAGAATGATTGTGACCTCTATTTACAAAAGATAAATGGTCTCTTTGTAGATAATCCTTATAAATTTTGTTGCTTAAAAAATAATATAGATCTTATAGCTATGTGATGTGCATAGTAAAAAACGGATGGTCTAGATAACATTTATAATATATAGTATTGGATAAAGTTTATATAAGGTTGTAACTTTACACTGCTGAAGTAAGATGCACTTCAAAAACCCCATAGAGAAGAGTGTTCCGGTATTTGAGAGCCCTCGAACTGATCATCTTGACTTCGTGATGAATGGACATGAAAAAAAATAGAATTCCAAGTCTAAAAAGTGGTGCTTCTTCTAACAAGTTATCTAAACTCTCTATTGTGTTTTTTATCTACTCAATCTACACTGTTTTTGAAATTTTAAATTTTATAACTGAAGATAAAAAGAGATTTTCAAGCCATTATAAGGTTTTCAACACCAAAGTGACATCTCTAACTAAATTTTGTTGGAACGCCTTATTTCTACAGGCAACCATATACAGACCTTACCCTATACTACTTAAAACCTGATTTCTTCTCACATCGTCAAGTTTTAAATGATTGACTTTAAGGTTTTTTTGATACCAAAACTACAATTTTTAATAAGGTTTGGTTCCTTTCCTCCATAAGACTAGATCATATTTAAACTTTTTTCTAACCTGAATCACCTTATCCCTCGTAAAAATGCCCAAATATCCCTTATTCTCCAAATTTGAAGGGGAAAATATTTTGCAATCTCACTCATACTAGGTTTTTTACATAGGGGTGGGGTTTGTATAGAGCCTAGGCTCTAAACAATCAAATTAGAGCCTAACTTTAAATAGTGTCGAGAAATGTGTTTTCAATATTGGAAATCTTTGTGATAGTCTTGGAATATATTTTTATCTTTATTTATAAAGTTTAAAGCTTTAAAAATAGTGTAGATCGACTGATCTATGAAAACTTGAAAATCTTGAAAATTGACGATCCAAAAATTCAAAGTACAAAATGTACCATTTCCAAAACTTGAAATCCATTTTCTTCTCATTTTTATGCATCTTGATGTTGAGATGATCAATTTGAATATATTGGGCATCAAAACAACCTCTTCTAGTGAAAGTTTTGAGGTAGGCTCTAATTTGATTGTTTAAAGCCTTGGCTCTATATAAACTTTTCCTATAGAAATACATGCCAAATATTTATTTTAAAAACAAAAGATGTCTATTTTCAGGCTTACACTTTACTAATATTTGAGCTTTTTAAGAGGAGTCATCTTAAAAGTACTTTTTTGAGATACAAGAGATTTCACTTTTAAAATTTTGGCATGGGGTATTTCCATCCCAACCTAATTGTTTTAGAGGAGCAATGAACAAATTGCCCTTCTTCCAAAATCAAATAATGGGAAATAGCGAGCTCATTGTTCTTCTGATTTTTCTATAGAGGACATTAAGAAGTCAATATCGAGCTCATTGTTCTTCTTATTTTACCTTTGTAAAATAAAAAAAAGGAAAAAGTTTATATAAGGTTGCAACCTTAAAACTAGAATTACAGATACACCTCAAAAATCCATTGGAGAATGTTGTTTTAATGTTGAAAACCCTCTAATTGATCATCTCGATATCGAGGTCTATGAATATGAAAAAAAAAATAGATTTTGAGTTTCAGAAATAATGCACCTTGCAACACATTTTCTAGATCGTCCATTTTCAAGATTTTCATAAATTTAAAGATCTACTTGATTTTTTCCATTTTGAAATTTAAAATTTTATAATTACATATGAAAATAGATTTTGAGATAATTCTGAGAATTTTTTACATCAAAATTGCATGTTACGATAAAATTTGGAGGTGCGCCTTAATCGGATTGTTTAAGGTTGCAACCTTATAGAAACTGCACCCATTAAAAAATAAAATCAAAGATTGAAAACCAAATAAAAAATAAAAAATTAAATGTTGAAAACCAAATATTTGATTTCATATAGTATGAAGTATAATTCAAAATAAATAAAAACACTTTAATGTGAAAATGGCCATCAAACCAGATACTAATTTTATATAATTTTGGCTTTTAATTCAAAAGAAACGTTAGGGCTTTTGTGGATCATTGTGTTACGAACATTTTGGGACTACTTTGAAGGGATATGACGAAGTAAATGATTGAAATATAAGGTTTTGGATTTCGAGCTCAGAAAACTCCTAAAATTTGCACTCCTATTTCCTTTTATTTTACTTTTTAATCTAACAAATTGTAAATAAGGTTTGTTATAGGGTTCCAATACCAATATCTATATCTATTTATACAACATTATTAAGCCACAGTTACAAGGTAGACATCTGTTGTAAAAATAAGAACGGACCCTAATTCTATAAAGGATGTAGGAGACATTCCAACCTTTAAGGGAAGAGAGAGAAAGAGAGAGTACGCATAAGGGAAGAGAGTGTTAGAATATGCATTTCTATATATTTGGGCCTTAGGCCTTCATGGAAGAATATTTCATAATAGTATAGATAACTCTCTCTTTATTGATTGATTTATAAAGAATATACAAGACCCATATAAAGATATGGTCAGTAACAATTAAAAATAAATATCAACGGTTGTGGATAACTACTAACTAATCTTATCATAATCAAGAGACACTTAAGAGATATGAAAGAAATACCTATGTAATCTTTTGCCGGGGAAATACAATTTTTTTTTTAAATAATAATAACCCCTTATAATTTTGGCAATAAGATCACTCACAGATGGTCTTATTACAAACAATAAAAATTCAAAAAATAAATAACACAACAATAAAATAAATCTCAACTACTTGATGCCATTCATACAACCTAATACTGTGCTTGAGAATATAAAATAAAAGAACTTAACAAAATAAAAGAAAAAGATGCCAAAGATTACCTCAACTGAGCTTTTTACACCCCACACCGAGTCGCCACATCCAATAGGGCAGGATCTGTGGTCTAGCTTCAATCTCGAATAGGGATAGCTGATTTCAGCCAAACTAGGTAACCACTCCTTAAAATCTCTACTAAACCTTAACCCCCAAAATTAACTTAGATCTAGAGAGGAGAGAGAGTACCACCTAAAATTTGGAGAGAGAAAATTAGAAAAAGAAAGATGGAGGAGAGAGAGTGGGGCATGCCCCTCTAGTAGAGAGAGTGAAGAGAGGTTGTGTAGAAATTGGGGGAGAGCACCCCTATTTATAGTGAATATTTAGGTTTAGGGTTTTCCCATAGTTTGTCTCTTTCATGAGATTGAATCTAGATCGTCGATCAAGGTGACTTGTGCGGTGAGAGATCTGAGTCATCCATTCCATAGATGGGCCATCAACATTATGGAAGGTGCTTTGACTATTATCCCCCTTTCCTTAAACCATTTTCCCATCAATATATTTAAATAAAATAAATATCATGCATTCCATAAAATTGCATGATCCATGTCACATATTCCATAAGGATATGTTAAATATTATCAAGTAAATAAATACTAGCAAATATAAATAAGATGAGATCAATATTTAATATCTATTCAAATTGGCCATATCGCTTTAAAACGAACTTGCTATAAAACAAATAAAGCTATGGTCAATATTTCCCTTCCAAGATTTGGCCACATGCTACAAATCAAACTTACCTTATCTTAAAAACTTGAACATAAAGCAAACAAGAGAATCCAAAGAGGGTGGGGTGTGCCACCCTTTTGTGGCACATGTGGGCCCCCACCCACATGCCACATGGTGGGTACATGTGTACTTTGGGCTCCCATGAAATTTTTTTATAAAAATATATTATTTTAAAATTGAATAAAATAATTTAAAATATATATTTGAATTTTTATAACTTTGTAAGAACAATAACTGTATTTTTATAAGTCTAAAAATTAAAAATAAAATATTGAGAGACTCATAAAAATTCAAATAATAAAACTAAAACC